CCCAGTGATCTACCAGTAGTAGCAGTAAATGTAATATTAGGATCAGGAATGGCTACAAAACAAATCAAATATAAAGAATGAAAATAATAAACATCAAATGTTTGTGAACATTAAATGCTTCTGTTAATTATTATAATTTTGAATTGCCTTAAAACTTAATTTTAAGTAGACAAAATTAATATTTGCAATTTGCTAACGGTATTGGTTGCACTTTTGCTTATTTTTTAATTAATAATTATTAATAAATCTAGATAACAATTGTAAGTATTACTCAAAATTTGGGCCAAAGCCTCTGTACAATAAGGGTTTTGGCTAATTTTTGCCAAAAATGAATAGAAAATTTTTTTCCACTTTTATAATATTTTTTCTGTTGCATATACATGTTTTTATGCTGTGCAGCAAGTTTAAGCTGATTCCTATCAAAATGAATTATTTATGAATTTTTAAAGTTGCCCCAAAATCCATGTACAATGCTTTGTGAACAACTCTGATTAATATACATGAATTATGCTTACCAGTTACAATGAAGCTAGCACTCATACAGTTAGTGTCAGAAGTCATAACATATTCATAAATTGGAGCTGGTACTATAGTAACAATACATGTATATGTTCCCGAATCCTCAATACTGCTCAATGTAGTGAAATTAAGTGTTGATTTATATTCATTAAAACTTGATGTCATCATAACAGAGCTGATATTAACACGATTTCTATCAGCAAGCATCATTGAATTAGAATCACTCTTATTTCTAAAATCACTGCCACTTATGATTTGTTGATCAGTCATGTTCCAGGTTACATTAACAGTGAATGGTGTATCAACATTAGGATCAACACTGATATCACATGTTAGTATCAGGTTACTACTGGCTAAGAAATCATTCTCTCTTGATCGATTCACATCAACAGATGGAATGGGAACTAAAATATTAAAAACAATTATTGAAAGAAACAAGTAGATGATGTAATCAAATAAAAAACTAGTATAAAATGCAATAACAAGCACACACACACACAATTAAAATAAGTTAAAAATCACAATACATTTCCCACAAAATATTTTTCAAAAGGCCATAACTCAAAAATTTTATATCAAAATTAGCTCAAACTTTCTACACTGCATAAGTACATCAATATGTATTCAGAAATTTAATAAAAAAGTGAGCCATTTTAGAGCCACTTTAGGAAAAAAGCATGGGCTATAGAAATATTTTTAAAAAGATTGGGTAGGATTCAATCACTCTGTTAATTTGTCAAAAAAGTAATAAAAACAAGGGCAAATAGAATTCAAAATGACCAAAGTCTTACTCTTGTGATTCAAATTTACTTAAGAAATGACAATGTAATCAGCATATGCATAAATACATAATGACGCACACACTAAAGTGCAATTTACATGTACAATTATAAACATAGAGTGCTTAGTACTGCTTACTTTTTAATGATAAATTCCAAGATTCATTACTCCTTGCTACCATGGATATCTGACTAACATTAATGGAGGCTTCACAAGTATACAGACCAGCATCAGAAGTATTGAGAGAAGAGAAGTTTAAATAAAGAGAACTCATTACATTAGATACAGTCATAAGAACTGGAGGTACACTAATAACATTGTTAGCTGATCTCTTAGTCCATGTTATCACTGGTGGGACTATGAGTCTATCAACAACTGTCACTGTACAATTTAACATGTATTCTTCACCAGGTTCACCAACACCCATAGACACTATCTCTAATACTGGCACTGGAGTAGCTGTAATGAGAGGGAGGAAAAGAAGAAAAGGTAGGAAATAAAACAAAGCAAGAAAGTGACACTAGCAATACTTACCATTTACTGCAATAGAAGTATTAGCACTAGCTGATGTATTCCTGAGATACATGTAACTATTAGGAGCAGTCACTTCAACATTACAAGTATACATTCCACTATCATCAGCATTATCCAATGGATAGAACATTAATGTTGCATTATAATGTAATGTACTGATCATATTGAGACCCTCAGTAATAGTAGCGTCAGATGAACCCATAGGAACATTAGTACCATCATGTGTCCATTGATTAGTGACAGTCACTGGTATAGTAACTAATGGATCTAACATTATGTCACATTTAATGAAGAATGGTGTCCCTGCATATAATGTATCATCATGTTCCTTTGATATGGTAACAATCACTGGTGGAACTGTAAAAAGGTAGAAATTAAGTATTTGATGACTTAAATTTAATTAATTCTTTATTACAGTATAGATTTTATAACTACAGTAAAGCAACTTACAGTCAACTATCAAAATGAAGGTATCACTAGCCTCTTGATAGTCATAAGTAGCAGTGCTAGGATCATTGGTATTATTAAAACCAGTTACATTAAACTCAGCCATACATGTATACATTCCAGCATCTTCAAACCTCACTGGATCCAGTATTAGAGTATAGTTAGTAACTGAACTAGTATCATCTGTTGTGATACTGTATGGTTTATTTAAGTTAGAGAGCATTTCCATATCTGTATCATTCATTTTAATGAAAGTAATCATTGGTGTTACTACTAATCTCTCAACTGTTGTTATGGTACATGTTATAGTTAGACTTTGACCAACTTCAAACGAACCAACTGATGAGAAATTTACTGTCATTGGAGGCAGACCTAATAAGAATAAGATGATTGATAAAATAAAAAAGGATAAAAAAGTAAACAAGAAAAAAAGAAGTGAGAATAAGAGAAAAGAGAAGTACAAGTATTTTTGTAACTTACTTTCAACAGTAACAGGAAGGGTAGTATTAGTAGGTTGACTTGATGCTATTAATGAATTACCAGAATTGATGATCATTTGACAGGTATATGTTCCTCCATCATTATTAAGACCAGTATCAATAGGTTGAAACAATAGCATGCTTACAAGACTGTTACCAGTTGGAGGTATCACTTGACGTCTTGCTTCATTAGTTGGTATTACATTACCACTAGGATCACTCCATACTACACTAGCAGTTACTGGTGTATCCACTATTGTAGTGTTTACTGTAGCTGTACATGTTAGGAAGTAACTTGTACTCTCATATATTGGACCAGTTGGAGGATCAGCAACTATTGATACACTGGGAGGAGATACTATAAAGAGAATAATTGCTTTAAATAATAAATAAATAATTAAAACTAACTGTGAACAGTTAATTCTTTGTTAGTACGATCTATAATACCAAATACTAGAATTGTTGCTTGACAGTAATATTGTCTAGCATCAGATGTCTTCACTGGATCAAGTGTAAGTACACTGGTCAATATATTTTCATTTCTAACAACTGGTACTAGTGTAGCATCATTGTTTTCACTAGTCACATCTCGAGATGCTTCTAAATCGTAAGTCCATCTGACACTAGTAAGATTCTCAACAAAATTAGGAGGTGCAATTATAACACAAAATAAATTGAATACATCACCAGCAACAGGAACAGAAGGAATATTGATACTTATATCAACATGATTGACATCAAACCCTATTAAAGATTTGCATTTAAATATGGGTTATTAATATTAATCACTTCACTTACTTGCTACAGTCAATGTAACTGCACTGCTATTATCATTCCCTGCTATTATAAAAGGAGTATTAGGAGTCACACTAACTGAACAATTATAACTAGCACCATTATCAACTTCATCTCTTAAACTATTAATACGTAACACACCAGTGTACTGATTATTAGTCATAACTGGAGGACTGATAGTAAAATCACTTCCATTGGTCAGTACAGTGTTATTTCTCCTCCAACTCATAGTAACACTAACACTAGTATCAATATATTGACTGATGTCAGCTATACACATAATATCAAGAAACTGTCCTTCTATTAATTCTCCATCTACTAAATGTCCAGTAGCATTATACTCAACATTAACTGAAGGAGTTGGTGCTATAAAAATAATAAATAAATAAAACATGATATAAATTACTCCAATTAACATACATGTAAGTATCACTTGGGAAGTTTCCATTCCATTAAATTCATAGTCTATATCAGATTGAGTGATATTAACAATACATTGATAGTCTCCAGCATCAGATGACCTTAATGAATCAATCATAATCATTGCTGTAGTATCACCAGATCCAGTAGCACTAGTAATGAGTTCTCCATTTTTTACTACACTGATATTAACACTAATATTGTATAGTTCATTTAGCACATCAACTGTACAATCAAGAGTTAAACTCTCTCCCAGTGATCTACCAGTAGTAGTAGTGAATGTGATATTAGGAACAGGAATAGCTAAAATAATAGTAAAATGATCATTTGTATTTCACACTACATGTACAGTACATTAC